ATTTATTTATGCACAGCCCTCTTAAGGTCCCACCGTAGCATTTCAATTGGACCAGCGGTCCATTCCAGCACTTTGATTATTTTCTTTTTCAACTATTCTGTTGTAGATGTGCTGCTGTGCTTGGGATCACTTTCATATTTCATAACCCATTTTCAACCAAACGTTATCTGATCTGTCACACAGATAAAGAGAAAGAAGCTTTCTCAGGAAGCAAATAATGTCCTGATAATACCCCGATATGTAAAACCTGAACTGAAAGAGGATGCAAGCCTTTACTTTTCACATTCAATATAATGTGGCCACTAAACTGCTGGCCACAGCAGTTCATGGCTTCTCCAGATCCCTGGGAAAGCTCTCTTTTTAGACCTAGCCCTGCTTTCACAGTCCAGGTCAAATGAAAGAGTTTTTTAAGTAGTAGTATACATAAAGTGGGCTTAATTATTCGCCTACTTGTATTGACTGTGTGTGGGCTGTCAAAGTGTTTAGGCTGGTTAACAAACACTGTACACAGATTCAACTTTTCATGTTAATCTCTTGTTACCATTTAGTACTTTTAACTTTCCATTAATATCATTCACTTTTTACTATTTATCATCTAAAGTTAACAAGTTATTTACTGTATGTTCATTAGTTTAAGCATTAAATTTGTTCACTAAATCTATTTTGCTTTCTTATTTGAACACTGGGCTTCAAATATTAGTGTACTTTTCAACTTATTTCCACGTAGTCTCCTAGTTGGCAATCGATATTTTTCCTCATTTAATCCTGTTTTCTTTCTCTTTATCTCTTTCCTTTCTTTGTATCGATCTCTTTCCAGTTTTTATGCAAGTAGACAATAACATATTCCTTTACTTTAGATTGAGCTGATGCAAAGCTTGGCCGACATTTTCATGGGAGCAGTGCAGTACAATGAAGAGGGGGTACTCATGTCGATAAATGAGCTCTGTGGCATAATGACCAACAGCAGCCAGGAATATCAGGATGAGATGGAAGCCTACAACCGCCTTGTTAAACTCTCACAGGTATGGAGAACAGAGCGGGCTCCTTCTCCACCTTTACATGTCGATATGTGGCCACCAGATGTCACTGCTGAGCCATTTTCCTGTATGTCTGCTGTCCCTCTCAGAGCTAAAAACAAGCAGTGCAAGCATTTGTGATTCCCTTATGCCTTTACCTTTATGCAACTCCCACAACATCTGTCTACTAGTTTTGTTTCTTTTTTGTCTCTTTGCATGTGTTTCTGCACTTGACAGATTTACCGATTCACCAGTAAGGAGCCGTGTTTGGACATCTCCTATGAGAAATCAATGAAGGATCTGATGGACACGTCAGTCCATGCCGGCAGAAGAGGAGAGAGACAGTGGACCTACCAGACATGCACTGAATTTGGCTTCTGTACAAAACAAACACACACAGACACTTGTTTTCATATATTAGCGAGGACATCTAATTAACATAATGCTTTCCCTAGCTGCGTACTCTAACTATCAAAAAATGAATGCCTAACCCTTAGCCTAAACCTAACCATAACCTAATTGTAACCCTGACACTAAAACAGCATTTTGAACCTGGAAAATGCCTTCAATCTTGTGGAGATGGGCATCTTGTCCCCATAAGTGACTGTTGTCCCCCACGAGTATAGTGGCATGCCAATTTTCTGTCCTCACAAAGTCATGTAGACATGTACACACACACACTAACACTTCTTTATCATACGGTGATTTTTTTCTTTTCGTGTTTGTAGACCAGACTTGTGAGGACGCCACTTGTCCTTTCTCTGGGATGTTGACCCTGCAGGATCAGACTAAGCTCTGTACCACGCTGTTTGGTATTTCCCAGCATTCCCTGCCTGCTCGCATCGCCTTCACAAACACTTACTTCGGAGGAGACAACCCACACACACACAGCATCCTTTATGTTAATGGTGAGAGTGGGTTTACTACAGACAAAGT